CATAAAGTGAGGGAAACCTGTACTGGATAAGGGCAGCCTAATGCACGGGGTGAGCCTGAGCCTTCTCAACTCCCCAGCCTTCTTTGACAGCCTATACTCAACAAAGAGACTTTGCTGACACTAGGATTTTCAACCATTTTGTCCACCTAAAGAAACCTAGAAGCAACTGGTGGACATGCAGACTCCTTACTGCTAAAAAGCACATAAACCCTAACAGCACTCTCACACCAGGCAGCATCCTGCCTCTGAGGTCCAATTTTAGAAGTGTTCTCAAAGCAGGCCTAGTAGAAAGGACATCATAGGAAAGGCAGGCAAGGAAAAGAAGATGAGTGAAAATGGACACGCCCATTTTTAGAACATGTTGGTGGGATGGGGGACACCCTAGTTTGAAGCTTCACTCTGCCATCTTTGGAGCAGAGACTGGAATCCAGGCCACCCTCCCAGGCAGTTTCAGTACCATATGATTATTACAAGGTGACAATGTCTGTTCCCAATTCCCTAATGCAGCCTTCGCCTTCTGTGCTTGTAACACAGCTTTTTTCAGCTCTGCAGCCTGGGATGAGCCTCACTTGCCTTTGAAACAATTCTAGCAAAATTTATCTCAGTGCTGCATCTTGCAGCCCCCTTGACCAAATGATCAGAGGTTTGTATACTAAAATCTGCACCTCAGACCCCTCATAGGCATACCAATGGCAAAACCAGAACATCACCTGATGAACACAAAGCTAAATCTACCCCCAATTGCAAATGTTTTGTTTTTGTTTCACCTTTCTAGTGAAAAGTTGTTGTGATATGTTTCCTATACAGGCACTTGGAGCTATCGTATGGTGTGTCATATGGCTATACACACACACCCACCCACACGTGGCTTTTCCAGTCCTGCTATGTTAACTGCTGCTGCTCTGGTGGTTCTCTACTGCCTCTTGGGAATGTAGGGTGCTGATGCAGCTGCTCCCTCAGGTTACCAACATTTTCCCAAAGAAGCAGGATACAGGAAGAGAGCAGTGATTTTCAAGTTTATAGCTAAGCCAAATCTAAAATGAATTTCAAGAGCAGAGTGAAATTTTAATACTGCTGTTGCTGTAGCATCTAAAACAACAGGCTGTTTTTGTAGTGAAAGTTTACGTTGGCAATCTAGAAGTAAAAAGGATCTGGCTGCATCTCATCTAACAACAACAACATCATCATTTGCTTTTTTGTAGGGCTCACCTCCATTATTTCTCACTGAAAGCTTTCCTTCTTCAAAGAGCTCTGCCAGAGAGTAGCAGACAAACCTCCAACCTTCTTAGTAGCCCATCAAGTGCCACACAGTCGAGCAAGTCTGTGCTTCTGCAGGTGTTCTTGGCAGTCGCTCATTAGTTCATATTGCCATCACATGTTCTACCAGTGAAGCAAACCCCTACTGCAAGGAGAGCATGCCCACATTTTCTGAAGTTCAGTTGTCATACATGCTGGTAGATGAAGCAGGTACTGAAGTTGAGTAGCTGGGACTAAAACAGTAATTGCTTGAGAAGGGTTGGAGCACAGCAAGGGGTGATATCTCTTTTCTTAAAAACACTAAGCCAGAACTCTGGTGAGGGCCAGCAGAGGCAAAAAAAAGACAGCAGGAATACTGAACAGTGTTTCATGCTTTCCAACTTGCAAGGTTTCAGATCAACCTAGGATGACTCACCCCACTACCTGCTCCGTGAAAGGGATGGAACAGGAATTTTGCATTCTGAAAAAATTCAATTTTTTCAACTGTCAATAAAGTATCAAAAAATTTTAGACAAAGAGGACACTTTCACCCTAAACAAAAAACAGAGAACAAGAACCACAGGTAAAAGTAATCACACTTTTCTTGCAAACTGGTTGTTACTTCCGCTAATGCACGTACACAGAATCTATTTCTCATTCTTTAGTGAACAGTTCAGAGGCATTTGGTTGCTTTTATTCACCACCAGATCAGGAGAAATCAAACTCCTGATGCAAGAGGAAGAACCTTCCTTTCTCTATAAAAAAATCCAAACAATTTCCCCCTTTTTTTAATATATTTTAATACACTCCCCACATGTTTCAAATTATCACCAGTAATTTCTTTGGGGGCAACTACACTTCCATTGTACCAATCAGGTATCCTAGGACAACAATATTACATCATCTGCTTTCATGGCTTTGGGGTTAAATACAGTACAAGGAACTCAAATTATGGCCAGCCACATGCCTTTGGTAGAATTAATGTCTGGTGATATCACATTTTCTCAAAACGTGAGAAAGCCACATGATGAACTCATGTAACATTTTACAGTTTAATTCTGTACAAAATCTTTTTTTCTTCCCTTAAGCAGAGTTGAGCAACTGTCACCTCAGGTTGCTCTTTTAGTGGTATTCCAAAAGTGGGATGTAAGTATTGAACATCACAGAAAAGTCTCTCCACATGCCTCAATTTCCAGTAGATTTGTGTTTGAAGGGCGGAGAAAAAAAGTCTAGTAAACATCACAAACCTACAGGTCAAAATGGTCATAATTTTCCTTCTTGACAATTGACAGATAAATACTTTTTAGTTTTAAAAAAGCTTCGTAACAGTACATGCGATTCATTTAAGGAACTGGCGGTCTTCTACTTTGAGACGTTTTTTCCGGGGCTGTACAAAATCATTGTCCGAGTCATCAGCAAGTTCTGAATTTTCACTCTCAACCCGGGAGTGAGGTTGTACAGGGAATTTCTTCTCAGCATAAAGGCTTTTCAGAAGCTCTTCAAAGTATACTTCAAGTTTCATGCCAGCATCTGCTACTTCTGAATCAGGCTGTTGGGTGAATTAACAATATCAGCATATCATACAAAGGTTATACACATACGTAAGTACCCAAAGAATTCCAATGTATTTGCAAATTCAGTAAAACAAGTATAAATGGAAGATATTCATCTTTAGGAGGTAAGGTAGCAAATAATCATAGAATTCTGCAGAACAATGATGGAGGGAACATTTTGAGCAGTGCCAAGACTGGAAAAAACACTTTTTAATTTACAGTATTGCCACTGAATCTAACACTCAAGAGCAGACAAGAGATGTTATAGTTAGCCCCCTCAAAAAGGGGTTGGATCAAAACTTTCGGAGAAGAGGCTTAGATTGCTAAACTATTTATCTACCCATTAGACTTTTTTAAAGCAGAATATGAACACAGTAACATTTGGGATATTAACAAATGGACTAATTACAATGAGTTAAAAGGAAGTAAAAACTTTTCACACCTCAGTTGCTCTATGGTAAGTCTGTATGTCAGCAGTTTACCCTGCAGGGTGTGAAAGTTAAAACTTTGATGAAGTAAGGCAAAAACTACAAGTTAAGCTTTCACATACCACAGTATGTATATAGGAACAGTTCTTGTGTCAGCAACGTATGGCAAGTCCCCACCTCCTTTTAAGGAACTGTAGCTTAATACACTTGTCCATACCCTTTTCCAAATGGATGATGGTTATATTTGAAACATTAGGAAGCCTTAAGGGAGTGGTGGTTAAACTTTTTGGCAGGCATGCCAAAAATTACAGGCTTCTACCTGATCCCTTCCTTCCAGAGCCATACCTGATAATAGTTTGTGCCTGGAGAACTGGAATGGAGGCAGGGGGCTTGAGCCTCCAAGCTATGCAAATCAGAGCTGAGATGGGGAGGGAGGAAGGGAAGAATAAAGTTGTAAGAGGAGGTATTACCACCAACAGTCAGGTTAACTCTTCTATGGCCCTGCAACCGCTACAATTTTATGTGGTGAATGGGTGAGAATCCAAAAATTTAATTCAGTGATGGCTATAGGGCCAGGGAAGGGTTAATCTGGCTCTTGGAGGTGACACCTATTCCTGCAGCTATGTCCTGCCCAGCCCCTCCTCAGCTCCAAGAACCCTGAGACTCTTGAGCCTGGCTGTCTGGGGCTCGTGTTTACGTGTAGCAGATGCCCTTGCCACTTGAGTAACATATGCCACGAGTCAGACAGCCCTGCCTTCAGGTGTTTTACACCACCAATGCGGGTCAAATTTCCAGGTGCAATTGGAGGGTACAGCGGGCAATTTGTTGCTGACACCAGTTATGTTCAAACCTTTGTTCCTGCTAGCAATACCCTTCCTTTGCTAGCCCACCTGGGACCTGTGTCCCTTTCCCATTGCTATATCACCCACTTCATATAAAGAACAACTAAAGTTAAGAAAAGCTAGAAGTAGCTGGAAATTTTGCAGCACAGGAAATACAAAGCTTAAAAGGCTGGCTAAGGAACAGGATAAGTTGAGGTGGTGAATAAGAAGTTCATCATTTGTAGAAAGGTTAGAAGAGGGAGGAAGGGCATTAGAAAAAAATCTATTCTGTAGGGGGTTGAGAAGGCAGCCCATCTAGGAATGGAAAAGTACAGAGGACATAAAAATTCTGCTTCCAAAAATTCTGCTTCTGCTTTGGAGCAGTAAGGATTAAATCACACTGGATGCATCTACATGTGCATTTTAATGCACAGTAGCCTATTTTATTGCACTTTAAAATATCATGTAAAAAACATGCAATTGTGGTAGCACACAGTTAAATCGGCTACCATTAAGTGTCACTTAAAAACCATGCACATTTGTTACTGAACATTAAGGCAGCCTATTGCACATTTCTTTAGTACCTCACACATTGGAGGTACTAAATTTAATGTGCATTAGAAAAAGTGCCTTAATGCAAGTGTAGATGCACCCACTATTTGCTATAAAAATCTCCTTCCCTGCTTCAGTGGCATTGCCTACCCTGCTTACTTATCCAACACCAACACAGTTTTGACTGCAGTCACCAAAGATTAAGTTTCTTATGTCAGGTGTATCATGAAATTCTACCTGCTGCCACAAGTTCTTTTTTTTTTTTTCCCCCCTGGAAAGACTTAAACTTGTAAAACAAATAGAAAGGTTTTTATTTTTCTGACCTCATTAAATTCAGCACAATTTTGGAAAATCAGTCTGAAATCAGCCACAACATCCTCTGGCTTTGAGTAGAATGAATGGTTTACTTGTAATCTGTTTTTGATAGTTGACAAGTCCATTGGCTTCTTGATTATTTTGTAGTAATCAGGTACCTACAGAAAAATATTAGCATGATGAACAACTGTGTGCATGTAAGCAGTTCACTATTTTGAATGGTCACCTTCAGGAAAAACAAAACCTCCCTAGGTTTGCCACTGAAAAACAGTTTGAAGATGTAAAAATGTTATATTAGTACTTTAGAGTTTGGCTCTGTCATAATGGTTTGCTTTAGCAACTCAAATGCATTTTTACTTTTTAAAACTATCACCTTAGCTACAGGATGTAGTTGCTTTCTACAGTTTCTTGCACATGAACAGCTAACGTTGCAACAAACAGCTAAAGCATCCTGGCTTGCCCATGCAGCTTTCTGTTGCAGCTATGCCTTGGCCCTGGGTAAACTTTTTGAGAGAATTATCCTGGCGCATGCCTACGAGGGGCCAGCAGGGGAGATTATGCTTACGGGCAACCAACATGGGTTCATTAGAGGCAGGTCCTGTCAGACCAACCTCGTGGCCTTCTGTGACCAGGTCACAAAATCCTTAGACGCAGGGGTAGCAGTGCACGTAGTCTTTCTGGACTTTCAGAAGGCCTTCGACACTGTCTCTCACGCCGTTCTCATTAAAAAAACTAGGAGACTGGCGTTGATGCCTACAGTCAGGAGGGTCACTACCTGGCTGGAGGGCCGCACCCAGAGAGTGGTGGTGTACACGTCATTTTTGACCTGGAGGGATGTGGGCAGTGGGGTTCCGCAGGGCTCAGTCCTCGGGCCCGCACTGTTCAACATCTTCATCAGTGACTTGGACGAGGGGGTAAAAAGCACCCTGTTCAAATTTGCAGATGACACTAATATGTCGGGAGAAGTGGGCATGCTAGAAGGGAGGAATAGGCTGCAATCAGAACTAGACAGGTTACAGGGGTGGGTGAACGAGAACAGGATGGGATTCAACACTGACAAGTCCAAGGTGATGCACCTGGGGAGGAAGAATCAGCACCATACCTACAGGCTGGGGAACTCCCTTCTCGTTACTGCAGGGGCAGAAAAGGATCTTGGAGTCGTCACTGATGCCAAGATGAACATGGGCCAGCAGTGTGGGGATGCAATCAGGAAGGCCAACCGTACCTTGTCATGCATCCACAGATGCATCTTGAGCAGGTCCAAGGAGGTGATACTCCCCATCTATGCGGCACTGGTCAGGCCACAGTTGGAGTACTGCGTCCAGTTCTGGGCGCTGCACTTCAAAAGGGGTGTGGACAACATTGAGAGGGTCCAGAGGAGGGCCACTCACATGATCAGGGGGCAGCAGGGCAGGCCCTACAAGGACAGGACCTGAACCTGTTCAGCCCCCACAAGAGAAGGCTGAGGAGGGATCTAGTGGCCTGTTACAAACTAGTCAGGGGGGACCAGCAGGCACTGGGGGAGTCCCTGTTCCCCCGAGTGCTACCAGGAGTGACTAGAAATAACGGTCACAAGCTGGCAGAAGGTAGATTCAGGCTAGACATCAGAAGGTGCTACTTCACTGTCAGGGCAGCTAGGATCTGGAACCAACTTCCAAGAGAAGTGGTGCTGGCTCCTAGCCTGGGGGTCTTTAAAAGGAGGCTGGCTGAACACCTTGCTGGGGTATTTTGACCCCAGTACTCTTTCCTGCCATGGCAGGGGGTTGGACTTGATGATCTGCTTAGGTCCCTTCTGACCCTACTAACTATGAAACTATATGCGCCCCGGCGCACACATACTTCCATAATGCAAATCCACACTCAGAACAGCAATATGAACTACTGAAAAGATATGGTAAAAAACCCCAAACAAACTTAACTTTAAGCCTGAAGTGCTGAAGAAAGTAAAATTCAAGAATTGATTTTGTACATGAATTAACATTAACTGGCAAAGTTTTTTGATGACACTAAGCTGTGGGGAAGTGTGGCCATGCATCAGGGTAGGCTGACGATCCAGAAGGATCTAGACAGATTAGTTAGATGGGTCAACCAGAGAGTCTCTCTCGCCCAGAGCCTGGGGGCTGGACCCAACGATCTCATGAGGTCCCTTTCAGCCCTAAACTTCTGTGAATCTGTCCATTTGCTAAGTTCCATTCACAAGACCAATTAATCAAATTGTTGCAAGCTCACTAATGGGAAAGCATATGCATGCGTCACAAAGGATGGGATTTGGTGAAATATATTAATGTGGTTTTAAAATCCCAGGTTGAATTTGCAGGGCTACTATTAGGAAAAAAATGTAACTTTTTAATGACAAATTAGTATGTAAAGCGGAAATGAGACATGAAATCCCATGTCATTAACAAGTCTCTTTTGTAGATAAAACCACATTTTAAGAAAAACCTCTCAAGCCCAGTAATATGCAATCTATATATACACATTACATGACATTTTCTTTATCATTTCATCTCTCTCATATACCCAATCTCTAACTCTTTAGCTCAGTGATCTAGACTTAAAAAGTTTTTAACAATATGTTTCATGCTGATGAAAGAGGGAGAAAAGGACACACCCACATGATATTACTACACAAATACATTTTTTCTACCTGGAAGGGCTTCTGGGCATGTGCAGAGCAGAACTCACTTTATGGTAAAAGTGAGACACCTAAGAAGTTTAGGAGCCTCTAAGTTTAGGTGGCAGCTGGGCAGGAATCTTCAGGATTACTGTTCTGATTGAGAAACTTGAATTCTTCCTAGTTCTAATTGTCCTTTATTTTATAGTCCTGTATAAGAAGTTTGTTAATTTGCTGTGAATTACTATTTTAGTTTCACATTAAATCTCTACTGGGATTTACTGACCATAGAATTTCAATTTTTGTATAAGAACAAAAAACAGCAATGGACCTCCCAATGTCACTGAGTCCAGCCCTTACTAGTGCAGGCAACCATGTCATATAAGTTCCAGTTAAAACTAATTTCACATTTTATTCTCACAACTCCTACTGGAAGACCATTTCAAAACCTCTCTGCTCTCAAGGTTGGAACTTCCTTCTGATTTCCAGCTTAACATTTATACGTGATGTAAAAATTTGTTCTTGGACCAACACAAGATTTAGATTAAACAGTTATTTCCCTTTCTTGGTGTTCAGGTCCCACAAAACATTTAGGGAGCAATCATATCGTGTATATCTCACGATAGCTCCAGAGGCATGAATTCAAGTCCTGCTCTGGGCTCATCCTGAAGGCTGCACCCAGATGGCTCAGCTGTAAATGGATATAGTTTCATAGTTTCTAGGGTCGGAAGGGACCCGAGTAGATCATCTAGTCCGACCCCCTGCCATGGCAGGAAAGAGTACTGGGGTCAAACAACCCCAGCAAGGTGTACATCTAGCCTCCTCTTAAAGACCCCCAGGTTAGGAGCCAGCACCACTTCACTTGGAAGTTGGTTCCAGACCCTAGCCGCCCCGACCGTGAAGCAGGGCCTCCTGATATCTAGCCTAAATCTACCCTCTGCCAGCTTGTGACCATTATTCCTGGTCATTCCTGGTAGCGCTCGGGGGAACAGGGACTTCCCCAGTGCCTGCTGGTCCCCTCTGACTAGTTTGTAACAGGCCACTAGA